CCAAAGCTTACATTCGGGTGCCAGCAGCACCTCATCTGGGAGTTCCTCTTCTTGAAGACGGAGAAACTCAGCTTGATGTGCAAGGAGTTCGAAGTTCCAGCCGGTGTCGAGACCGAAACGTCTCACTGACATGCCCAAGGATTCTGCCACTTGCGAAGTGCGTGCAGAGCCGCAGTACACTTCCCACAAGACCCTCTTCTGATCTCCTTCTCGACCATGTAGTTGTCGGGTCAGGTAAGCGGAAATGTCATTGAGGTGAGTTCGAAGCTGTATGTCCATTGTTTGGAGTGAATGCTGTCGCAAGGTGTTGGACAACTGTTCCTCCTTGATCTCCTCGTCCTTCAAAGTGGACAGGGCGGCAAAACCATGTTCCGCCTGCTCAAAATCAGTGAGGTGGAAGCCATCCACCTGCTCCATGTCGGCGTCGGCCGTCTTGAGGCTGAAGTCGGGGTTCTGGGGTTCGTACTGTATGAAGTCGTGATCAGCCGTCAATGACAACAAGTATTCACCTTGTCGGCCGAGAGTAGCCTCCTGCCAGCCAGAGGACCCAATGCAGATGCGACGCATGGCAAAGTCCATGGTCATGCCCAAAGCCTCGATGATGGGGCGTCCGCAGAGCATGGGAGTGTTTCCCGGCAATAGGAACATCTGAATGGTGCCGTAGCGCCCGTCCAAGAACACCGGAAGGTGTACCGACCATGTGGACCAAGAAGCTGCATCGCCCCCAAACTGGAAGCGTCGCTTCCCTTTTGTCAGCATGATCTGGTCGAGCGGGAAGCCACAGTCTTGACGAAGGTGTTGAAGGTACCTCCGGAATGGTCCATAGCCAGAAAGAAAAGCCGAGGCACCAGGGTCTAGCATCACGCACTCTGGCCGTTCAGCTCCGGTGTGATCCTGAAAGATGATCATTGCATCCTCGGACATCGACAGGAGGGCCATGCCTTCGGTGGGAGCTGGTCGTTTGGTGCCACTGGACTTCGGTGAAGAGTTCTGTGGGCAATTGGCCGCCCAGTGTCCCTGTTGACCACAACGTAGGCACGTCATGTTGGCGCGTGCACGACCCTTCGGATCACTCTTGCCTCCGGTGGATGGAGGATAGCGGATGGTGTTGCTCTTGTTCTTCCCCTTTGACTTTCCGCCCTTTCCTTTTCCTTTTCGTTGCCAGGACGTTGGACTGCTGGTAGAAGCTGAGGCCGTGGCACCAGTCGGCATGGGAGTCTGTTGGTCGGCCAGCGCCACAACCGGTAAGAAACCACGAGACATCTTCAGGTCGTTGAAGCGCTTTCGAGCATCCGTGTAGCTGGCATAAGCCGAGTCAAACTCATCGGCAAGCTGCTCTGGGCTTGCAGTTTCATTGGAACTCTCGGGCCATGGCTCATCGCCGAAGTAGCCTGCTTCGTCGTCGAAGGTGGGGTCGTCCTCGTAGGAGTCTCCGTGCCCCCACTCATCATCTTCATAGTAGCCCGTCTCCTCTTCAGCCCATTGATCCTCAGGATCCTCGTCCCAATCATCTTGAGCAGCATAGGCCCGGTTTGGCCAGCGTTGGAATCGCTTGTTCCTCTCATGGTTCCAGCCACCAGCTTTGTAGTCCTGACCGAGGATCAAATAGAGAGCCTCGATCACCTGCTGTTTCTCTAGGGTTGGAGCCTTCAGCATGAGGAGCTGCCTTTGCTCCTTGGAAAGAGCACAGCGGCGGAGAAGATGCCAGCCTTGAACGCTGTCGGGAAGTGCTACTTTATGTTGAAGCAACCGTCGGTATGCTTCTTCATGCTCGTTCACGAAGGCCAGGAGGGTCTGCCCGGGTGCTCTCTGCAGCAAGTTGAAGTAATTCTCGAAATCATTGGGCAGTTGGACCCTTTGGTCATAGGCGAAATTGCCATCCAAGACCTCCAAGACCTTCTCGAAGGAGTCATCCTGCTCGAACTTCTCGAGGCTCCAATCTTCAAAGAGCCGCCAAACCACTCCGCGGAAGGAGCCAACGATGTTCAGCACACTCTCGTTCGCACGCTTTGAGAGTGACATTTTGCGGTGATAGATCTGGATGCGTTGACGCCATTCCCGGTAATCCGCAGGTTGGCCTGTGAAGAGCGGCACGTAGGAGTCTCTGAGGTCGAGGTAACCGGAATCCTCCTTGGGTGTAGTCATCGAGCTTGAGGCCGGTTGAGCGGCCTGTGGCTTCTTCTGCTGTTGCCTTCTTTGATGCGACATCCACCGAGGCGGTGAGTGCCACAAGGATCCTCCCCTCAGGGTCTTCAACCAGGTGCTCCACCAACAGGATCCAAAAGAAACCGGCAACGAGTGGCCACCAAAGACCTTGTCCCTAGCCTTCTGCTCGGAGATGCGAAGCGCGCAGCTGGAGCCCTCCCCCAAATCGGGTTTGGGCTCCGCTACCAATGCGAAGAATCCAGTAGTAGACGAAGCCCACTGGATTGCGAAGGTGATAGAACACCACAAACGAATTGGGGACGAAACGAGTCGTCGCGGCCGCATACCTTTCGGCAAGCTTGAGCCCTCCCTCTGGAAGGCATGAAGTCGTTTCGAGTGAACATGAACCGTTTCCCGCCAAATGCACAGCGTGCGTTTCACAGTTGTTTTGAAATCAGGCTGGCCCTCACTAGCGTTAACTAGTTAACAAAAATAGAGAGAGCCCCATGTAATTATTGGTCCAAACCATGTCTTCGACGACGTATTTTAAGCAGTGCCATGTGGATGATTCTTGTGGGCCTCCAAAAAACACCTTTTGATCTTCCAAGTCTAGACGGAAGGTCATGCAAGAGAACCGAGAAGCATGTCAATGATGTTGTATGTCCTTGCACGCATCATGTTTGCATAACAGGTCCAAAGCTAGATGACTATAGTATGATGTAGTCTCATACAACACCAGGCCCTTTGGATATCCTGCCATCCCTTGCAAACTTCAGAAGATTTGTTTTTTGGGATCTAGGCCAATCGAACAGAACGATATATAATATATAAGTGCAAAGTTAATTAGTGCATGTGAGGCTGTGGCTTGTGATGGAGAGCTGGTCTCTCATCACATCCTATCACCATCATGTACGTCCTCCGGTCAGGTCCTAAAGCCTAAAGCTAAGCACTTTTTGAAAGCTCAGTCCGGCACAAAGCCGCCGGACCAACCTCACATGTCCAGGCGCAGACCGCGCGCGTCTTGCACAAGTCCAGCCGGCACAACACCCGGATGCACTCCATCGAAGAGAATCACTTCAGCCGAAAGGGGTCCAAGGAGGCCGACGTCCAGACCAGCTCCTGTTCGGGTGACCGGACCGACCGGGTGACCGGACCGAAGAGTCCAAGAAAACATCAGAAAACCGGGGGAGGAACGTCAGCCTTTGACCATATCAATTTGGTCAGCCTTTGACTTTCATGCAAATCATATATATTCAACAGTTGGGGACTGGTGGATTTGTTGCAACATGTTCCCTGTCATCTACCCAGGTTTGCTTCTACTAGATGTGAATTCTCTAAAAGCCTAAGATTTACTTCGCGGAGAAGATGTACTCCAACGCTTTCGGGGCCCGGCCCAACCTCGGCATCGTGCCTCGCGTCACCAAAAGGCTGAACCAAAGCTCAACCACAAAGCCGAGGATTCGAAGAACGATTGATTGATTCAAGTTTTGTTTCCAAAACACCGACAGATGACGTGCGCATGTTCATGGGATCCGACGTTGTGATGAACTGTTGGTCCGTCGTGACGACGGAGGCTCTCCGTGTCGTTGTGCAGTCGTGTCGTTCATCTCGTACTCAGATCATCTGGTGCATTGGCATTTCGCAAACAACAAGCAAGTCAGATCTAGTAACAGTATGGCCCAGTATGGCTATATACCAAATGTGAGTTCTTTTTTCTCCCAAAACACCCATCCACTGTCCCGTGAACCATAAATAATATGTTCAAGACAAGGCAGATTCCATCTGCGCCAGCAGTTTGTTTGCGGCTTTGAATGTCATAGCCAAATCCATTGGCACCAGCCTCTCCCAGCTCATGAAGTATTTGTTCAAATCACCACGTCCTGTCTTGATCTCTTTCTTGAGGATTTCCCGGCAATTTTCATTGAAGAGTGTCCGCAATTCTTTCCTCAAAGGCTGTGGTTCGCTGGGAACGAATGCGCCTGCGACACCATTCATCTCCACAAAGGTCGTCAGACTGGTAATGCTGGACTCTCCGGACATTTGGCACTGGAATGTCATGTTGAACAAAATTGTGAGCAGCTGAGCCATCTCCATGGCCACCTGGAAATCATCTTCGTTCCAAACTCCTTTGGTCTTAATGAAGACCTCACGGATGTTTTCAAACTCGAACTCAACAAAGTGCGCGAGCTCGACAATGCCGTGCAAGCCTAACATCAGATCCCACAGCTGCTTCACAGCCTCATACTGAATGGGCATGGCAGCAGGTGCAACTCCCACAAATTGAGGCTATATAACCGTTCAAAAATGGCTTTGGACAATAGGCAACGCTTTGGATGAAGAACAGGCGGCTTCCACAAAAAATCTTTGAACAACAGGCTTTGAACAATCATCGGCTTGTTCGAGGCTTCTTGGCTTTGAGACGCCAACAACTGAACCCAGTTGGTCCTTCAGTCATGGCATTCAACATCCCCTTTGTACGAATCTCGTACGGCTAAGAGCTGGGCTTCGTGTGCCTCTGACTGCCTGAAACAAACTCCTTCTGGGAAACATTGGGAACACAAAAAGTTGAAAAATCGCGAACTCAGCATTAGACGTATTTCCTTCCCAGCAGGCACAGCTATGCACAACCGACCCCGGTCCAGTCAAACCCCATCATCCATGGCTTTTGGAAAGTATCGTGGCTTTATCTTGGAAGGGCATTGAAGTGGGCATTGAGTAACCAACTAGGAGGCAAGTCCCTGAAACAATTGTTGGATGGGAAAAACAATATCGCCAATGGATGGCACTCATGACAATCAAAACTTGGCCGAACTGTTTCATTCGGCGTCAGGAAACCTAGGCCAGGTGTCACTTTCTCAGTCTTGGGTGATCTTGAAAGGCTTGCCCTTCTTCAAAGTGATGCCCCGCTTGGCCACAGTGTATGGCCGTTGAACCTTCCATGTTGCACCAACACGCTCGAATCCGAATCTGAAAATCATCAAGGCATAATTGTTGAACTTCACATTGGACACCTTTGAGAAAAAGTTCTTCGCTGTAATGCGCTCCTCTTGCCCAGAACCCACCTGTCTTGGGTCACGCATGCAACGAAATTTCATAGCACATTTGGCCCCCACCTCAAAGCCATCGCTTCCCAGCTCCAAGGCAGAATCAGCTTTGCGCTTGATGTTCAGAAAAGACAGCTTGTGTTCGACCACCCCCTTCTCCCGTTCGCTCCTCACTAGCATTTTGTAAAGAGTCTGAGTGGAAAAGCCTTGGGCGTCCGCTGATGAGAAACTGGATTCATCGATTTGGACCATCGTTTGGTCGCCCTCTTCCATCTTGAAGGCGATGCCTTCTGAACAGTCGGTCTCTGCCACCCACTGCCCTGTCCCAAATCCTCCAAGGAGCTGATGTTTGGCGACAACCTTGTCTTGTGAAGCCACCAGCCACACTGACTTGTTCTTGCCCATCACAAGCTCAATGTTTGCAATCTCGCTGTTGCACTTGGCCTCGATGCCAATGGCCTCATCCAACTTGGCGATGGAGTCAAACTCTGAGTCCTCGCCGCTGGTAGCTGGTTCCACCGTGGCCACCTCATCTTCCTCTCGTGAGGCAGCCGAAGTCGAAGCGGATGGAGCTTGACCAAAGAGCTGAGTCATGAGGTTTGCATTCTGCTCCCGGAGGTCCTGGTACTGCTGCAAGATCTCACCAGTCTGCATAGACCAGTACTTATGCTCATCGACCTTGATGGCATAACTCCCAGGACCTGACCCCCGTTCCATGACCTCTAGCTTGAGGTGGTCTTGAGCATCAGGGCTTGCGCCGGGGATGGCACTGATCTCCGCAGCTGTCAGCTCTGGCGCCTGAGCCGTGAATTGGTGTCCTCCATGCGAGAACCGTCGGGCCACCCATGCGTCCGTGACCTCTCGTTGCAAACGAGCATGGCCGTAGGAGTCTTTGTTGAGCCACCAAACACTTTGATAGTACAAGTTGCCTGTCTTGAACCCACCTTTGAGCTCCGAGTTCTCCAGCCGCAATTCCAAGGCCTTGGAAGCCAACTCTGAACTAAAGTCTGATTTCAAGGGTTTTCAATGCATTGATCTTAAACCTCTGTCAAATCATTTCCACCATGACAAATGATTCAGACAAATTGTAGAGCTGAGGTTTTAGGAAAGAACGGACCTGTCAAATCAAAGTCTCTTCAAAATGTATTGAACAATCCTAGGCACAGCGCATCCCGCATCTTCAATGTACCCAGTGATGTTGAGCAAGACAACGGTTTTCCCCTTCAAGAAGGAAGTGCCAGGCATCGTGAGGCCACTTTTCAACAATCCAATCCACTTCTTCACACCCTTCTGCGCGGAGCATGTCTCCGTGCTCGGGCGTTGGCGCTCAGCTTGTTTCAAGTCATCCTCCGCGGACAAGCTTTCAGGGACCAGGATGTCCTTGCTGAGTGGAAGAACCAAAGACTCCAATGCTAAAGGCCTTCCGGCCACCCCCAGCTCAGATGCATTGACCCATTGGTTGTCATTCTGAGCGTCGACGTTACAAATCATTCGACCACTGCTGAAGCGCCTGGTGGGTGAGCAGTGAAACGCCGAGGCAAATTGGCTGACAGATCAATGGGTTATAAGTTATAAGTGTCTGGAAGGCATACCCTATCCAATAAATGAAATTCAAACAACAATTCACTGACTCAAGCAGGAATTTGATAAGGCCCAGCCTTCTGTTGGAGTGTGCCTCTGCCGACGGGTGTAGTTCAAATGGGCATACCCACCTGGAGTCGCAGACTTGCCTCAGCCCCCAAAGGGCTTCACTGATTTCCTTCTCCTCGTCCCAAAGGCCACGCTTGGCACTCTTGTGGGGGACATCAGGCAGCTCCAGCAACGCCCCGTGCTTGAGCGGTGAAAGGTCATTGGCAAATTGCACGCAAGAAGCCAGCTCATTTACTCGCTCGGAAGTCCTTGCTCCTGGCACATTCATATCACACGGTGTGAGGTAGTAGATGTCCGACTCGCTGATGCCCGCAGACTGTGCCTCACACCAATCTTGGAAATGATGATGATGATGCTTGCCCGCCCCCCCGGAAAAAGAGAACGAACACACAAAAAGGTGATCATGACTGCTCATAATCGGTCTGCTTCAAATGCTCATTTTGCATTTCATTGGATTCGGATGGCGAATGCATCTTGAAAACCGATGGACACCACACAGACCAGGACCATAACCTCATCATCTGCCAAGTGACAACGAAAGCTCTGTACTCGTTGATTTTCTGCTGAGCCAACTCCACCTTCATCACAATGTCACACTTCAAAAACTTCTCCATGTACGAGTTCACCACCTTCTCCCCAAGCTCTGCCTGGGAGAGTCTCCATGCTACCTCCTTTCTGTGCTTCAGAGCAGCCACTACCTTCGTGGGTGCCTCTTTGACATGCTTCAAGGCCTTCTGATCACGCTCAAGTGCCGCTTTGAAGTACTCCCAGCGGGTGTCTCGAAGCTTCAAGCGTTCCTTCTCAGCTTCAAGGGTGGCACCCTCTTCCTGAGCCCGAGCATCTTCAAGTGCTTCCCGTTGGGCCGAGGCCAACATTGACATTGAAAACCTTGAAGGTCGAGATTCCATGACGTCCCGGAAGTCTTCATCCTTGATGCTTGTCGTCCTCATGAGCTTGTCATATTCCTCAAAGTTCCGCAGGCGAGCCTTGAGGAAGTCTCGAATGGAAGCGTAGAGAGTCACAACATTCCGAAGGTTCAGGAGTTCGTCCTCTGACAATCTGTATTTGCGACGGTCGCTGGGAGACTCAATGATGGCCGTGGCTTTTTCATAGTGCAAGCGAATCCTCGCAAACAATATTTCCTGGCTCACAGGTGTCATGACCAAGCTCCAGTCCAATGCCACTGATGGCTCCCCGCTGGCTGGGACCATGGAGGAATCTGGTAGGCAAAGCAAGTTCACCGTACTGTTCAAGAAGAGAACCTTCATGATGGAAAGGGTTTCACCCCATGGACCAAACTGGAAAGGTGAGTCCCGAAGTGAGATCTCCACCTCTGCTTTGGCTGCCTCACATGTTGCCTCAAGCCAGTGTCTGATGGCATATTGCTTCTTCAAATCTAAGATCAAAGACCCAGCGCCCGTTCTGTCCTGCACATCGAGTGATCATGAGCCCCAACCCCCAAAGTCTGTAGTTCCCAATCCAAGAAAACAAATTACCTTTTAAACTCTCAATAGTAGGCAAAAATAAGTTGTTGCTGTTTTCAATGCATCCTCTCCTTAGAGCTAGAGCCCCCGTGAGCCGAGATCTCTGCACTCCCATTGTACATCTCGATGGCTTCACTCAGTGTGATCTTCTCACCACTCTTCGCCATAGATGCCAAAATTTGTGACCACTCGAAACTCGAAACACTCTGAACTTTGGAATCCACGTTCTGCTTGATAATGCGTGAAATCATGGCTGCACTCTGATCAGGACATTGTGCCCGGTGGTATGTTGGTATCTCAAGCAAGCCTCGAACTAGGCGAACCACTGCTTCTCCAGCAAGCTGATCCGGTGCCGTTGGCACCACATGGTAGACAAGGCCACACCAGCACAAGGCAGCTGCCAAGCCTCGCATCCCACCATCATCAAAGCGAAACTGCCCAAAGTGCTCCGTCGACATATCGCACTCATCTTCTCCAAGTAGCCGCATACCCAGGCTTGAACCCTGGCCAGAGGGGAAGGCAAAAACTGTCAAAAACTCTAGGCCTCTCAGAATCAATGTAAAGGCCTGCAACTCAAAAAAGTCACTGAACCGGTACCATTTCAAACATCGTTTCCGAAACAGACATTGTCTTGTATACCGCTTCTGTCTCCTTCCAATCACATTCTAGAGAAATATTTATATAATGGCCCCATTGATGCATTTGCATCTCAGGATTCTTTGGGTCCTTTTGGATTCATGAGCCATCCTAGAAAACAGGAACCATCAATCAATATCCATGTCACAAAACCAGTCACCCCCAGAAAACAGGTAATCAGGTAATCTTTCTGAAGTCAAATTGAAGTACATGGCCCTAAGGTCTTATCCCTACATACTCCCGGGCGGCGAGGCCATTCAAGGGCGGCGAGCTATTCTCAGAATAGCTCTCCACCCTTGGATGGCATGACAGATTGACATGTGTCACCGGTTGGGGATTTGCTCTCCACTCCACTTTGACCTTCCACATTCATGGGCCAGAGCGGCGAGCTATTCCCGGAATAGCTCTCCACCCTCACCTGTCCCTTCTTTGAGGACTAATAGAAAATTCTACAGTAGCCACTCCCTGGAAGCCACAATGAAAGAACAGTTGGTAGCCAACATTCCACAAGCCCTAGGCAATGTCATGGACCCCTTGATTTGGTTGACTTGGGGCGGCGAGCTATTCCTGGAATTGCTCTCCACCCTGGTGTTCCCATCCATAACATCAAAGTGGAGAGCTGGAACTCAAACTGCAACCACAATGGCTTGGAAATTTCCCAAAAACTGAAATCTCAAAAGTGTTCCCTGCAAGCTTCCTGCCTGCTGCCAGCCCACTAGAGCAATGGACTTGGCCAGGTCAAAGACGGTGGCATTGTCTGGTTGGCGCCAGAAGGAATTTCCAGCAAACGACCACTGGAAGATACTTGATGTAGTGTGAGAACCAGCAGCTGGAGGCCACTCCTTGAGATCCAGGTCCAACACCCTTCAAAAAGTGCTAAACCGAGGTTTCCCACTTGAACAGATTTTAACCGTCGTTGACTCAGTGGTCAGTGCAAAAACCGCTCCTTTGTTGAAAGAAACCTCTCTGAGAATTCATCTTCTGTGGAGTCGGCTTTGACAATGCCGATGACCTTGCAGAATTCAAAGCTGTTTGCCATGAGAGATTCCTCATCTGACCAGCATCTCTGGACCACCTCAAGCAAGCTCCCACCACTCTCCATGGGAAACTTCTTCGCATCTGGAAAGCCATGCCGGCCTTGGTAGGCCTCACAAATCCAGTCCTTGAGCTCTGCGCAGACTGCATGAACATCCGAAGCCTTCTCGAGTACTGGCATCCCTGAGGTAACTTTGCTGGTGCGTTGCTTCTTTTTGGGCGGCATGTTGAGCAACACAAGCAAAGCGACAGGCTCGCCTAAAGAATCCTAAAGACGTGAGCCTCAAAAGAAATGACCAAGGGACCAAGAAGACCCTGACATCCTGTGACAAGCACGGACAAAGTCACCAAAAACTCTCAGGTGTAAAAGTATATCAGAGTAAATTCAGACTGTAACATGCCCTGTTTTTACCTGCCTGATCATCCCCAGAAGCTTCGCACTTCTGAATTACTACTTACAGCACCTCAAGCTTCAGGCAAATTGCCCGGTAGCTGGCTTCCAATTGCCAACCACACTGCAAAAGGCGGCCAGGAAGACAGGCGCACTAAACCTGAAGAAGTGATTCAGAGACTGGACTTCCTACAGAGGGTGGGGTGACCTTGACCAACCAAGCACTTCAACAAAAACGCGTGATCCATATGACAAAGTGACGCATTGCCAATGAAGTCTCGCATGGATCGAGCTGATTCCGAACCCATTTTGTACTTGGACCATTCGAAAGGCCCAATGCCCTGGAGCCGCGCAAGCTCCTTCTGGCCAACGCAACAAGCACGCTTATCAGATGTTATGTTTTCACATCTATTAGCAAATTTGGTTTTCAAATTGGAATGAAACAAACCCACTCCTCTGCACGCATAGGTCTGAAACCACCCGGACCACAAATTATGTACTTGCCACCCGGAATGACGCAAGAGGTTGTCCAAATGTTCGACTTTGGGAAGACTGACGGATCAAAATTCTGATCCTGAGGTTCTGTTCTGAAGTTCACCCCAAGGCCTCGAAACATCAGTAGCATCCTGGTAGAAAAACACAACAACAACAACAACAACAACCCGCAACAAATGAAAGATTCTGACAAATGAGCTGACCAGGCACGACCTGCACGACTAAGAGCTGCTTCATTGCATCGATGCCATGGGTCACAGCCAGCTGCTCAATAGCTGCCGCCAAGATAGCCACCTCACGGCGGCTGCACTCTGTCGTCAAACTCTCCAGCTGCTTGATGCGCTTGTCCAGCTTCGCCTGGCACAGTGCCAGTTGGGGCGTTTGCCTCAACCCTTCAGACTTGCGATCTTGTTGAATGAAAACTGACTTTGAAATTGGAAAAATGCTTGAAAGCCAGCTACCTGCCCCATAATATTATGTACTGTATATAATAATAAGTTTGTATTTAATGGATGCCTTTCCATAGATCTTGCACTGCGCCGCGCAGCCAGTGTTCCACTTTGCATCGCCACCACCGTGCTTTGGCAAGTTTTCCAACTCACGAGGTTCAGGGTCAGAAGCAAGCACGACACAGGCACTCAGAGGTAGACACTCTCGACGGAACAGCCGCATGTCAGCGCCCAGCTGCAAGGCTGAAGCATGTAACTGAGACTTCTGAACACAAAGGAGCCAGGCCCGACCCCTTTGCTGAGGCAAACCAAACTCTGCCGTGTTGTAGACATCTGCACTGATTGCATACCCTAGAGCGTCCAGCCTCTTCCGAATCTTCTCATACCTAGCTTGATGGAGGGTTGGCAAGATCATCAACCACCAACATCACAACTCACACCAAGAAATAAAAGTGGAACAAATTGGAAACCATTCATTCATATGAAATTGCGCTGACTGCCCATCCAGCTCAACCTTGCGTTTGTGAAAGAGTGAGCGGACATTCTCAATCAGTATCAAAGGTGGCCGACGTTTCCTCGCAAACTCTTCGACACCCAGGAAACCTTTGCCACTGGAGCATGAGCCGTCAATGACACTGCCTGGAGTGGTTGTGAGGGTGCTCACATCCACACAAGGAAACCCGCCCACCAGCAAGTCCACCTGACAGGATTGAAACAAAGAACTGGACGACACGTGTTTTCTCACCCCTATAGTTTTTGAGCACTACTGATGGGCCACTGATGGGACAACACCATTGCTTTTGGGCAGCTTGCCTCTGGCACTGGAGCTCTGCCACCATCAGCTGTAGGTGCAAACTTCTGAGACACATCGCTCACATCTTGAAAGAGTAGAGCCTCCGGAAACCTTGACATCAGGTAGGCCTGCTTCTTCTCATCGATCTCCACCATGAACTTAACGTCCACCTGACAGGCACATGTCCCAGGCGCGTCATGAATTTATATCCAAACCCCAAAAAAACTAATTTAATCCCAAACTGTTGATCATTTGGATTCTAATTTAGCACATGGTTCACTATCCCACGCCTGAATGGGCTTTGAGAAAGATGAATTCCACTGGCTTTGCAACGAGGCCGTTACCATCTCAAGTACGCCCCACCCACTGAAAAGGGATCCAATCTTCACGCCATCTATGTCTTCAAAATTCCGGGACACTCGGTCTCGCAAGTCTTTGAAAACTGGGTCGTTGAGGAACTGGTGCACGAATCCATCTATCTAGGTTGGGTGAAAGCTTGATTGAAAAGAACCTAGCATCACAAAAAACTTCAACAACCTGACAAACACAAATGAGTCAAAAATGACCAGATTTGGAAACTAGCGAGGATCCCCCACATCTCCTGCCAGTGCTGGTCGCTTGGAAACACCAGCTTCATGCTCCGCGTCCGACTCCAACAACAGTTCTTGGTCAGATACACCTGCCAGTTTACCACTCATTGCCATTAAGCTTAGAACACATGGAGCAACCTGCATCATAAGGCCCTGATCCCCCTAGAAAGGTTGACTCTAAAATAGTCTGAAACTAGAAGTGTTCATCTCGCCTGCCGACTTCTTTTCTTCAACTTCAGCATCAGAGCTCAGAAGCACTTCCTGTTCGGAGGCCTCTGAAGCATCGGCATCAGCTCGTGGTGGTGCATCACTCCTGGAAAGTGCGCAGAGTGCTGCTGCTGAACAAAAACCAATCAAGGGAGGCTGAAAACCTTTGGTGCTGGGGTTCATCTCGACCTTAAGTGAGCAACTATAATGGCTGGCCGTGGCTAGTTTTGGAGTAAACATATACCCCCCTTTCACTCACCTCCCATAGTTTTTTCCTGGGATCATATTATGTCATATTATTTCATCTCCAAAGACTTCTGCAATGAACCTTTTTGACCATCAATCACTGCCATATGTCACTCATCAAAACCTACCGGAAGACCTAGGTCCTCATCCTCAGAACTGGCGCCACTACTGACCCCTCCATCAATGGCATCCTGATCCAAAGTCACATCAACATGCTTCACACGTCTGGGTGTGGTCCAATGGCCAGGATGATGGGGCTCACGAAGGTCGGCCGAGTACCGATGTCCCAAAATGGAATAATGTTGTGGTCTGGGGCATCGAGCCAAAAGACCACGACTCCAATCAAGAAGGTACCGAGCTCCTTCCTGTGTCATCTCACCAGTTGTGGCAACCGGCGGAACGGTCTTTGCAATGTTCTTGCGGACCTGGGCCGTGATAGCCCGCGAGCTGCAATACCTGCAGGTGGATGGAAGCCACTCCGAATCTGAGCAACTGAAGCTGCTGGCACAACTGCTATGGCCCTTTGAACTTCTGTGTCTGCAAGGCAGCGCTTGGTCACCAACGCTGGCCCAGCTCTTCAAGCTCCAAGGCATGGTCCAGGACATCTGAGCCGAGGTCCTTGCGGGCACTGAACCGGAAGAAGTGGACCCTGCGAACTCCTTTAAAGGAGACACCGACTTGCTTACAAAACTCCTTCCAACAACAGCACTCATCCAACTTCGCAGCACTTGAGGCAGAATTCCTGATGCGTTTCCCATCGCCAGATCCTGAAAGGTTTGCCAAAAGTGTAATCATCTCCGCTGGACTTGAAATTGACTTTCCTTGCAATGCCCTGGATATTTGACCAAAGCATTGATCAATATCCTCATGTGAATGTCCCGTCCTGAGGAATCCAAGTGTCAAATATTTGGCAGCTCCAAGAATGGAGAGCAGCAGGAAGAATTGAAGCATGAACTTGTTTTTGCCTTCTCTGTAGCAATTGTCTTGTTGGAGGTGGATTTGGATGGGAACATTGCCAAATGAATCCACCACCTCAGACAATGCGCGGGCCACAAGCTCTATTGAAGTCTCTGAGTTCTTTTTCAAATCCTCATCGCTCAAGTGGAGACTCAGCTTATAGCCGTGAATGAAGGTGCCCACCAAATGGCAGGCTGGTCGAAAAATATTCTGCCAACTCTTGCTGCTTTGAAGGAAACCTCGTCTTGGAAGCCGCAGCTTGCTTTGATCCATGCCATCTTGGATCATAGTCAATGTGCTGGTGGAAAGTGATGATTTCATCATTTTGGCAGCCAAGTGAAGTGATTCAGCAAAGTATGTGCGACTCTGAGCTCGAAGATGCCAGTAGAATGAACGATCTAGCCATTGCGAAAGCAAATGGCGGCTGTACGTTTGTACCAAAGATGTTCTGATCTCTTTGGTGGCAGCCTTTTTTATCTTCTGCCTGAGCTTGTAGCATACATCACACTGTCCATGCTCCCCCTTATCCCGACACTTCAAGTGCGTCTGGAAAATTGCTTTCTTGATCCTGAGGAATGTGGCAAAAGAAGCACTTTGCTCACCTCGGGACTGTGCGAACACTTGGTACTGGTAGAACATGTCGATTGGCTGTGTCCACTCAATGTAACGTCTGGGGCCGCTGAATGTGCCCGGTCCAGCCAAGTTTACCTTAGTACAGATGCCCAAAAGTTACAAACCCTCAATTATGGTAGAACCCACAAATTGGAGAATACAGACCAAGAGAAACTTGTAAACGTGAAATTCTCAAAGAAGTGGCTGGGTTCGGATCAAAGTTCTTTTCCAGAGATTGCATGAACGACTGAACATACCGCTCTTCATAGTCTGGATCGGCAGTTCCAACACTTTCAAACTTACCTGCCCTTGGCATTGTCAGTTTGGTAGGTAAGATCTCTGCAGCCGAAATATACAGCATCCAAAAGAACGCAAGGACATTCGGCCACTTCACATGCTGCGCGTCCCTCCTCAGGGAAACATTCAGGGCCTCATGCTTTGGTTCTGGAAGCCTAGCTTCCCCAGTACCTGTATAGGCTTGACCCCCGTCACGAACATTTTGTATGGCCCTGGCACTCACGGAGTACAAACGAGCGTGAGCATGTTTGCACACTGGTTTGCCAAGGAAGGTCAGCTGCTCTGATGATCTGGCACGGTACCGGCGTTTTTTGGCCGGTGGCTGAGCGACTTCATTCTCTGAATCAGTCGCCAACAAAAGTTCACCATCAGGCCCATCATCAAACTCTGTTTGACATGCTTCTGAACCAGAAGGTGTCTCAGCGAGGACTTCACCCTCCGACTCTGTCTGCAGTAAGCATTCATTGGACTCATCATCCCCACCCGTTGGCTCCTTGCTTGAAGCCACAAGACCATCAGCAATGCAGTACCACTGCCGCAGCTGGGCTTCCTTTGGCGATGTGTTCAAAAAATAGGTGACAACAACTCTGAGTAGAATATTGATAACTTTCAACAATCATGGATAAATAAGACCTAATATGTTAAATTTCTGCATCAGTCTCTTTTCTATGTGGTTCCAGCGCTTGAAACCGGTTCCGTTCAGCCACAACCGCTGCGCGATCATCCTCGAATTGCTTGAAGCAATTGCGATTGCCACACAAACATGGCTTAGCCAGCAGAGTCCCTATCTGAACACTTTTGGGCATGGCTTGGCGGTTGCAGCTGCAGAAAGCTTGGAATTCCAATCTACCACTCTGGGATTTAAAAAAAAAAATTGAAGTCGTTGTGGGACTCCAAAATAATTAATAAGCTGATCATGTCTCGCTCAAAGGTATACAAAATTGATCCTTTCCGCCCTGCACCCAACTTCCCCGGATCTCCTCGCTGGTCGCTTTGCTGGACGCTTCACACAAGAAGCAGGGCGCTTCATGGCGATCTACCTGTCACCTTTTAATCAAAACGCCTTGCGAATAGGACGGGCTTAGCGATCCAACCAACACTCTCCAAGCTGAAAAAAACCAAGCCAATGAAAGAACCATCTTTCATGAAAGTTCCTTATATATAATTATTGCCGGAATGCGTATACCGATACGTGTACCGGGGCAAGCTCATCATACCAAAGCTCTTCCTTATAACTCACCAGAGATACAATTGCCGCAAAAGGCCCCATCAGGACTCAAGGTGAAGCATTGCGGTTGGTGGTGAAGCATTACGTTTGAAGCTTTGTCGGGCCTTACACATTATACAGCGTTTTACCCAAGCAAAGAAAACTGGGTGCTCGTCTTTGCTTTCGCCGGGTTTTGCCCGGCTCATAAATATATTGTAGCTTTCCGACCCACATTCCCGTACATGGACCTTGCAATGAAAGCTCTCCAAAAGCATATTTAATATTTGTGTTTTCCCCTCCAATCCACCGTTTCATCTAGTAGACTCGCATATATATATATATATACATTGCTCTGCCGGGTGCTCCTGCGCTCTTTATACCTATACTTTCACAGAGGTGCCACAAGATGCTATCGACTTGTTCAACCGTGATTTGTGTGTATTGCCATGAAGAAGGGGCAGGACCAACTTACCAACCATGACCGCTGGCCAGATTTTTTTGCCATATAATTTGCGTTAATTCCTACCTATGTAGCTCATATTATTCATGCGTTCGTGCCAATACAGCCTTTTCAATTCAGATTGCTTTGACACCATGTTAATCACGAGTCACATGTACAACTTGTCATGTCATGCCCTACAACGTCTGGAACCCCCCGCTACAATAGTGGAAGGGTAGTGTGAGGAGCGTTTGGAACCGTCTCGCGTTGGCGAGTGCAAGACCGAACCAACATCATACTACGGATGTTTGACAACACCCGGTCCACCGAACTCTCTTCATCGTCTTCTTTCCGGCTTTTTGGACGCACGAGTGCCCTCGCGTGCTCCGCGTCGTGCTCTCGCGTGCCTTGCAGGAAAGCTCTCGGAAGCGAGGCTCCAAAGGCTCCTCCGTGTTATGCTTGGAGCTGCCGGGAGAGCTCGACAGTGCCCCGGAGGAATGCCTTAGGACGCCCTTCGGGACGCGGTGTGCGCGGTGTGCGCGGGTGTTTTTGGGTGGTCGCACACAGAGGTCAGGTCCTGAATTGTTGGGAGTTTGGAGTCTGGATTTCTTCAGTACTAGGTACTAGGTACTTGTGTGCTGGTGGATTCCTCCCATGGTAGATCTGATCCAGAAGTTTCGCAAGAGCATCCCCTTGCAGTTCGCACAAGGACCACGTTGCTCAGTTTCGAACGGTCTTTTCACCAAGGACTCACGCTTTGCCCCCAACCCCCCTGGGGGGCAGCAAATTCTCTGCAAAGAACAATCGGAAGACTTTAGGCATTTGAAGCTTTATCGTCGGTTTTGGATGGTTTTGGCAATTCGATGACAAAGATGAGATGACATTCATTTACATTCAACAATGAGCAAGTTCTCAGCGATTCCATGCGACAAACAGCGCACCCTAACCCCCAAAACTCTAAACCGACAATCCCTATGTATCCCTATAGTCGATTGGTGGGGGTCAAACTATGCGTCCTGGCACTATCTTTTCCAGCGAAAGGTCACCTGACCACGACTTCTAGAACTGAAATTCCTTCCTGGACACCCGGAGAAATCAGCAGATTGATGTTCAGATTGAAACGCTGGTGGCCCCTCTTTCCATCCAGACCAACACGGCCTGGATGCAAGATCCTGTTCACAGCATGCACACATCCTGTTTAATCATGCAGAAGGTGTGGTCAACTCCCCAAAGATTTGAGGAGTGTCAACCGGTCAACCCCATCGAATGCACCATGGTTGAATGTTCCCTCGAGCTGTTCCACGTGTTTCAGAAGCTTCAAGAGATCAGTTGATTGTCCAATCTTTCGAGACGGACCAAAAGCAGGACAACTCATGACAATTCCACCTTCCCATGCACTTACTTGCTGTGGAACCCTGTGCTTGTCCTTTTGCTTCGCTTTTTGGCCAAATGAGTTCCATTCTTCAAGCACCTTGGAGACCTTGAGAGTGTTGAGCAGCCCCAAGGTCCCCCTTTGGTCCCAAACATCCTTCACCAGCCACCCTTTCTGCAGCTTAAGATCGCTCCGATCGCCAAGTCTGCCTCGTCCGCGAACTCGTGAACTCCTCCCAGGCATTATCCCGGACTCCGCGAAGGTGAAGTCTGCATCGAAGTCTGCATCGGCGGGAGAGGAGGGGTCCAGCTCCCCGAGCGAGGAAGATGTGCCCGGGCGGCACGGCGCCGGCCCGCGTCTGGGACGCTGACGTCGCGGATCGGGGAGAAATATATGGCCGATGAGGGGGAGAGGAAGGGACAGCCTGTCGCGTTCCATTTGACACTAAGGTGCCCCTTCAGAACCAGACACTTTTGCACTGATTTTGGACCGGCGATTCCATCGCCCTTCCCGTTCTGTTTGAGGCATATCCCGCATGTCTTCGTCCACATGCTTCGGTGCGCCACGGGTACCCAGGACCACTTCGGCTCAGAGGAGGTCCCAGAGCACAGTAGCAGCAAGGTGAATCACCTTAAGAGCAGCCGAAAGTGCCTCGGTGAGCCGATCTGCGCCGTACGAGTCGTGCGCCGCTGCGCCGTGGCGATATATCCGTTGTTTCTTCGTGTTGGCCTCCAATGAATGCATTTCGGCCAAAGACCGTTGGCTCTTGAATGAGATTTGGGCATATTTTGGCACCACAGATGATCACAGATGTATGTACAGCCTGATGTGGCTTCGAAATGCTTCGAAGCACTATATAAAGCTAAACTAAACTAATCAATGACAGTGGACACATTCTGGCCATGTAAGATGGCTTGGAAGTGCTGGGTTCACCCCGGTTCCACCCATGGACAGCTCGACTGTCCGGACCAAGAAGCGAAGCCCAGGCGGATTTTGGTGCGGTGTCGCCGGGTGAGCTTGGAAGAGTTGAGGGACAATCATGATAGTGAGCTGGTGAATTACAAAAGCGCCAACGAAAGGCGTGAATCTGTGGATGGCAGGGTGTGGCAGGGCGGAGCAGGAAGAATGACGGTCTAATCGGAAAAGCCAATTTGCTTGGGGGAAATTACATGGACTCATGTTATAGTTTGCCAGGTGGGTGGAACACCCACCTGAAAAAGGCGGCGTAGCACATCGTATCTCAACTTGAAGAACCGAACCAAGGTCTCACAGTGTACCAAATTACGCTCGTTCATTGTGAACATTTATTCAGCTTTGGCTTCCTCCCATTGCCAGTCTGAACATGTACTTGTACCAGAACA